GGTCTGTGATGGTTTCAAGATGGCTTCGAAGGCTCATGCCCAGAGACCATGGTTTTAAAACAGCCTGACATTTGCACTGCGAGAACACCAACATTTGTGCCATCTTGTTTACATGATTACACAACTGATAAAGTATCATTGCAGGGTGATAAAGGGAAATGAGGGAACTTCTCTGGTGCCATATACCCAACACAAATGACGGTAAGCCAAGGCACCTATCATTGGAATCCAGTTTGTGCACTGGAATGCTGAACAAGTATAGTGGTTTGGAAATAATTTGATGATAGGCTGAGGAACTTCAAGAACTCTGCACTTAGAAGTAGCATAATTTTATGGAATCACTGTATAAACACAATTGTTGTATACATGATCATTACAGGTTTTGAATCGATGCAGAAACAATTCTACAATGCTTCATATACGCATATGTTTGTTGTCACAGGAAAAATATATTTGCAACATAACTGGACAGTTACTGCTTAAGGCAACATTATAGAATTTATAGCATGAATCCTTTGGACCATTGTTGTGAACCCCCAGTGGACTCTTGAACCCCTAAATGGGACCCACTGCCCTGACTGGTTATTGGCCTTCATTTTCAAAGAGAACTAAAATGATATCACTGTATCAGGGCCAAGGTATGATCAGACGGATACGAGTTGAGAAGACTCTACCACAGATCAGACACAAATAGTCCACAGCAACATTTAGAGGAGGGATGACTCTAAATTTGCACATCTCTTTTCTTTGAAGCCACTACAATGCCGCTTTGCTTATAGAGCACAGCATCTTCTTTGACGGTAGCACCCCATGCTGGTCAGTTCTGTGCCTGTCTCCCATGTTTCACAATCGTTTCCAAAGTTCTTTAAAAAAACCTTAAAAGTGTCCTTGTTCTGCTTCTTCTGACCTCCCTGTAAGTCCTTGCCTTGCAGGAGTTCTCCATAAAATAGTCTTTTAGGCAAACATACATTTGGCATTTGAACAACTGAAGCTGTTCTCTCTGCAATAGAGTTTGAATGCTTGGCAGTTCAGCTTGTGAAAGGACCTGAGTGTCCGGTACCTTATCTTGCCAGGTGATCTTCAGAATCTTCCTTACACAATTCAAATGGAAGCAATTCAATTTCCTGGCATGGTGCTTGTAGACTGTCCAGGATTCACAGGCATACAACAACAAGGTCAGCACAAGAGTTTTGTAGACCTTCAGGTTGGTCTTCTCAGCAAAGAGATAGAGGACTACTAAAGCATAGTATTGTACATGCTGTCAAATGGGTGCTGCTGTCTTGCTTAGCTGTTTCTCTTTGTTACAAGATACTGGAGTGGTTTACCATTTCCTCTTCAGCTCCTTTTACAGATGAGGAACTGAGGCAAACAGGGTTAAGTGACTTGTCCAGGGTCAAACAGATAGTAAGTGTTTGAGGCCAGACGTGAACTCAGGAAAAAGAGTCTTCTGAACTCCAGAACTGGACTGTCCTAACTACAGGAAAACAAGGACATTCTACTGTCAGTGGAACTGTAAATTTTTGTAGCCATTTCAGCAAAGTAATTGGGAACAATGTCCCAAAAGTTACTAAATTGTGCAAACCCTTGACCTAATGATAGCACTACTAGGCCTATGGGCAGCTAGGTGATGCAGTAGATAGAGTTCCAGCCCTGAAGTCCTGAGTTTACATGACCTCATACACTTAACTAGCTGTTTGGCCCTGGGCAAGTTACCCTACCCTGCTTGCCTCAGTTTCCTCATCTGTCAAATGAGCTGGAGAAGAAAATGAAAACCCATTCCAGTATCTTTGACAAGAAAAACTCCAAATGGGTTCACAAAGACACAGACACAACTGAACAACCACAAACTAGGCCTATGCCCCAAAGTAATCACAGAGAAGACAAGATCTGTACGTGCAAAAATATTTACAGCAGCTCCTTTTGTGGTAGCAAAATGCTGGAAACTAAATGGGAGGGCCAATCAATTAAAGAATGACTGAACAAATTACACTAATGGAATACTACTATGCCATAAGACATGATGGAAAGGATGGTTTCAGTGAAACCTAGGAAAACCTGATGCAGTGGAAGTGAGCTAAATCAGGAGAACAGTTTACACAGCACAGTAAACACAGAACTACACAGTAAAAATAAATCGCTTTGAAAGACCCCAAGAACTCTGATCAACATAATGACCAATCATGATTCCAGGATTGAAATGTATATTTTCTGGATTTGGCTAATGCTGAAATCTGATTTTCTTTGCTAGGCATATTTGTTAAAAGGATTTCCTTTTAATTCTTTTTTTTTCCAAATGGGGGAGGTGAGAAGATAGCAAAAGAAAAAGTTTTTGTTCATTAAAAAATTTAATTTTAGAAAATTTAAAGATTAAAAAATAACTAAAGTGAAAGGGTTGAACTAACCTCTGAGATCTAGCCCTTCCAGCTCTCAGTGCCATGACCCATTCTTTTTCACTACACTCAGAGTTGGACCGGATAGGGTGAGTTGGGGGATGGAAGAGCTCCGTGCAACGTTTACACTTCCCAGAGATCTCTGGGATGCAGAGCAGCACTACATTTCCCAGAATTCTTTGTGTAGGGAAGGGACGTGCGAGGTAAACCTCCATTCACAAAGCAGGACTACATTTCCCAGCGTCCCACGGGGTTCTCCGTCCCGCCCCCCCCCTCCCGGCTTTGGCTGGATCCTCCTGCGTGGCCGGCGTGGACTCCTGCCGGAAGCAGCTGTGGAGCAGCAGGTGGAGTCCGAAAGCGAGGTGGGAGTCTGGGTTGGGGGAAGGCGGAATGGGGGAAATGGGAGCTGGGGAGGGCCGTGGGGTGGAGTGGCGTCACTTACTCCCCGAGTGTCAGCAGAAGGGGAGCTTAGAGATGTGATCTATCCCTTTGGACAGAGGGGGGAAACTGAGGCCCACCGAGAGTGCCCATATTGTAGTTGTTCTGTCGTTTCAGACTCCTCGTGACCCCATTTGGGGTTTTCTTGGCAAAGATACTGGAGTGGTTTGCCATTTCCTTCTCATTTTACACATAAGGAAACTGAGGCAATCAGAGTTAAGTGACTTGTCCACAGTCACACAGCTAGTAAGTGTCTGAGTCCGAATTTAAATTCAGGTCCTCTAGTGCCGGCTCTCTATCCACTGCCACCTAACTGCCCCCTAGATGCTCTTAAGGGTCCACAGACAACCCTGCCCTGCTGAGCCCCTCTGCCCCAGTCACTGGAGACAGGACCAGATTTCCACGTGCCCTCCAGTCCTCTTCACTCTCTTCCAATGCCCAACTCCCATGTGGTTATTTTGTATTTATTCTGAGTATCACATACTTAAATATGTGCATGTTGTTTCCCCCTACAGAATGTTAGCAACCTGAAGGCAAGGTGCCTACTATATGCCAGGCACTGGCCTAAGTGCTAGGGATACAAAAAGGAGCAAAAGACCATGCCGGCCCTTAAGGAGTTTACAATGTAATGGAGGAGATAACATGGAAACAACTATGAAGGGACTGTTTCACTTCTGTCTTTGTATTCTAGGCACCTGGCACAATGTATATACATAGTAGATGTTTAATAAATGCTCATTAATCAGTTGATCAGGGGCAGGGGGGAGGGGGGAGCTGATCTTGAACCTACCCATCCACACACAAAGGGAGGAAGAGTGGAGAGGAGAGAACCAGAGAAGGGAGCTTGGAAAACATGATTGCTGTATTATGTTGTTTGAAGGACTGTTGTTTAGAAAAGAGATTAGCTTCATTTTCCTTGGCCCCAGAGAGGAAAAATGAGTAGATTTCATTAGAAAGATTTCAGAAAGAAAAAAAGTTGTAGGGGTATCTAGGTGGCTCAGTAGATAGAGCTCTGGCCTTGGAGTCAGGAGGACCCGAGTTCAGATTCGGCCTCAGACACTTGACACTTGCTAGCTGTGTGACTCTGGGCAAGTCACTTAACACTGATTACCTCACCAAAAAAAAAAAACTATACAAAATTATTTAATGAATAAACATTTATTAAGCACCGATACTGTGATATGCACTGTGACAGACAGAAAGACAAAAAGAGCGTCCTCTGCCCTTAAATGTGCCTTTTCACTAGAGCTCTGCAGGTATATTGAGTTGATTCTGATTCTAATTTTTAATGAATTGTTTTCTTCAGTTAGCTTGGTACCTCCTTTTCCATTTGGCTAATTCTACTTTTTAAAGAGTTGTTTTCTTCAGTGTACTTTTTTCCATTTTGTCAACTGTATTTTTAAAGGAATTGTTCAACGTTTCTTCTACCTCTCTTATTTGACTTTTAAAATCCTTCTTGAGCTCCTCTAAGAAGGCCTTTTGGGCTTGAGATGAGTTCATATTCCCTTCTGAAGTTTCAGATGTGGGTATATTGACAATGTTGTCCTCTCCTGAATTTGTTTTGATCTTCCCTGTCACCAAGATACTTCTCTGTGGTCATTGTTTTTCTATGTTGCTTTTTACTCATGTGGTTTGCCTTTTTTCTGGCTTTTAAAGTTGATCTCTGCTTCTGGGGTACAGGGGCACTGTCCCAGGCTTCTTGTGCTGAGGGCTAGGGGCCTGGTTACTAGTTTGCTGAGGTGGGGCTTGCCACTAGCTTGGTAGGATACCTCCTTTCCTGTACTGATCCCCTTTAGCCACACCAAGAGGGACCTTTCTCCTTAAATCCCCTAGCCTCTCCAGCAGAAAGACTGTTGCAGCTCATCTTTCTACTGGCTCCACTATTTGAGGATTTTTCCTGGAGCAATATTCTCTGGGTTTTTCAAGGTCAATAAGGGAGGGTAAGAGCTACTTACTTTGTCATCTTGGCTCCCAGAAGTCTAAATAGGTGGCTTTCAAATGTTCAGTCTGTAGGCAAATAGCTCCAGGAGCAGTCACAGCCGCTGCTGCAGCCACTGCTACTGTTATGCTGCCAATACAGTCACTCCCCAAGCCTGTTCCTGGTTTGCTGGTACAGGGACTGTATTGACATACCCTGCAGCCCTTTGCTGGACTGCGCTTCTCTCTCACGCAGCTCCGACAGACTCCTCCTGCTGACCTTCTAAATTGTCTCTGGTGTCTGGGGGTGAGAAGACTGGAACCCACCACTGCTGCTGGTGATTCTGTCCCCCGAAGCCTGCTCCTGCATTACTTTTGCCGGGTCTGGACTGCTTGCTGGACCCTGCTGAGCACCCTGCTTGCTAGACACTCCTCTCTTAGGCCAGTACAACAGACCTTTCCTGTTGACCTTCCAGGTTGTCTTGGGCTGGAAATCTGCCTCACTGTCTCTTTGTGGTTTTTGCCACTTTAGCGTTTGTTCAGAGTGACTTTGTAGAGATATTTGAAGAGGTTTGGGGGAGGGCTCAGGTGAGTCCCTGCTTTTGCTCCATTTTGGCTCCACCTTGAAAGGCTCTGAGCTGATTCTGTCACAGCTGTTGTAAAGAGCTCTCCAGCCTTAAGAGGAAGGGTGACTTGCCCAGGTGAGACACAAAAGGGAGAGAGTTGGAGAGAAGACTGATAATAGGTCCTGGCCAGCCCTGGCCTGAGTACAGGGATTTTATGCTTCCCCAGGAGAGTTTGAATGGATACGTGGCCTCCAGGAAGTACAGATCTCAGAGAGGTTTTTCCTCGCACTCTTAGATGATCCTGTCTTAGCCCTTGCATCCCAGGGCAGAGACTCCCTGGTCACTTCGATTGTTCCTCTCCCACTATGAGACTGGTCCTGAGAGAGTATGGTAGGATTTGTATTTATTTTGTGAGTGGTGCCCAGGGCACCACTCTTAAATGGCGGGTGGCAAAGAGAAGGCCATTATACCCAATGGAGGCAGCCTAGCCTGTGAACTTTAATCCCTGTACCTCTTTGGCCACAACGTGAGTTTCTTTTATCTATGGGCCTCAGCCTTTTGGCCAATTAGAAATTCAACGTGGTGAGAAGGAGCAGGGGTCCATTAGAGTCTTGCCCTAGGGATCTGGGGACTTGGGTTTGAAACCTTGTCCCTTCTTATCTGTGTGACCTTTAGCAACACAATTTCATTTCTCTGAACCTATTTCTGCATCTGTAAAATGGGGTGGAACATACTTAGCCTACTGTACTCACAGGGTTATTGTGAGGAAAGCATTTTGTAAACCTTAAAGCACCACAGAAGTAAGAGTTGTTATCTTTGTGGTGATGTTGTTATCTTATCCTCATCTCTTTTGATGGGACTCAGCTAGAAATGGCCCTGTGACAAAGTATTTTTCCACTGTATTATTATTTTATCTTTACTGTTCTCCAGACAGTTGCACAGGTGATTTAAAAAAAGAAAACAAACCACTTGGTTTTTGTAGTTGATTAAAACTATTAGACTTTAAGCTCCCTGAGAACGCCCTGAGTCTAACTCTAGCAGCAGGCACCACGATGGGGTTGATGTGCACCTCCTCCTGACTCCACAGCATTTTGATCTCCTCTGCCAGGTCTCTGTATTTTTAGAGCTTTTGGTCCACAGAGCTTTGGCAGCATCTACTAAAAAGCATTGCTCTTAAAGCTTGTTAACTTGACTTCTCAAGTCTTTATGGATCAGCCTTTATGTCCAGGAGATCGCAGGCCACAGTTCAGTCTGTGCTAGTGGTCTGCTTCCAGTCCAGTTGATTGGCTGATTTCTCCAGGATATTTTGAGATCTGAATTTGCTGTAGTGGTGGTGGTGGTGGTGGTAGTGGTAGTAGTGGTGGTAGTAGTAATAAGGGGACTTATCTGTCAGGCCTTGAATAGTAATAGCTTGTGATGTGTATTTCTAGCTGTTGGGTTATGTTGTGTTAGGCTTTGAGTAGATGCCAGACTTTGCCAACTACATTGACCCACAGCCTCTACCATTTCCTTGCATAATCTACACTGATCATGAAGCCCAGGCTTCTTAAGATAACTGTCATTTCTAGGGGGCAGCTAGGTGGCACAGTGAGTAGAGCTCTGGCCTTGGAGTCAGGGGGACCTGAGTTCAAATCCAGCCTCGGACACTTAACACTTACTAGTTGTGTCACCCTGGGCAAGTCACTTAACCCCAATTGCCTCACCAAAAAGAAAAAAAAAGATAGCTGTCATTTTTAATGGCTGTTTATTAGTATTAGTTTGGTGTAATGAGGGGAGGAAGGAGGAAGAAGCAGCAGGTGGGGGAGGGGGCAGAGAGGAAGGGTAGGAAAGGACCCAACACACCGTTAAGTGTCTGCTGTTTGCAGAGCTCTATGCCAGACACTGGGAGAGACACCAAGTTTAGATTAAACACTTCCTGCCCTCCTGGAACTGTAATTAAGTATGGGGATAGGGCAGAAACACTAAGAATAATAATGATAATTATTGTTATTATTATTATAGCTAACATTTATATAGTGCTTTAAGGTTTGTAAAGTACTTTAAATATATTATTTCATTTGATCCTCGAAATGAGGTAAGTGCTGTTATCCCCATTTTACAGATGAGGAAACTGAGGTTGAGAAAAGATAAGTGACTTGCCCAAGATCACATAGCTAGTTAAGTGACTGGTGCAGAAGTCAAACTGGGTGTTTCTGACCCCAAGTCCAGTACTCTGGCTATTACACCAGCTAGCTGTCTCAATATCTCAAATGTATCAGAGAGGTACAAAACAAAATATTATGTGAGGTTGGAGCAGAAGAGGTCTTATCATGTGAAGGGATCTAGAGAGGCTTCATGAAGGAGATGGAGTTGACTGGTCAAGAATGGAGCCACAATTGAGCCCTATCTATGCATGTCTCTTAACCACTGCTTGAACAGTAGTAATATCACCTACTTTAAAAGATTGTGAAGTTCAAATGAGCCAATGTATGTAAAAGGCTCTCTAAAGATAACTGATCATTATTACCTAATTACAGTAGGTTTGGGGCAGGTGAGAGGCAGGGCCCAACTTTTCCCACCTTGTTTGTGACCTCTGTCCCCACAGGTGCAGCAGGTATGGCAGACCCATCAGAGGGCACTCGGATCCTGGTCACTGGGGGCTCTGGCCTGGTGGGGAAGGCCATACAGAGAGTGGTGGCTGATGGTGCCAGCCAGCCTGGGGAACAGTGGATATTTGTCTCTTCCAAGGATGCAGACCTAATGTAAGTGATTCATACCTTTCTCCCCTGGCCCCTTACACATATCTGTCTCTCTCTGTCCAGGCAGTAGGGTTGTGTTATTTTAGACTGGAATGAGCTAGGAATGAGCCAGACTTAGGGCACAGCAGTAAGGCCAACCTGCCTAACTCCCACCCTGTATAAACATCCTGGTCCCCCACCCTATGCCAAGAAAGCCAGATCTTATTCACATGATAATTTTATTATAAATTTAAAAGGAATAACAAGTTGTACATAATTGATGTGCTATTTCATGTGCAACACCTTTTTTATTATACTATGTTATGCAGATGTTTGTTTTACTCTGTGAATTTAAAGTAAATAAAAAAATTAAGAAAGCCAGATCTTTACCTGCCCCACCCCTTTATTGTCCTACCTCTGCCTGGAAACCCAGCCACTATTTCCTTTGATACTTCCCTTCAGCTTCTTTCTCCCCTTTTTCCCCAGGCCACCACATAGCCATATGTTTCTAACAGGCTTCTTGGTCCCCAGTTCCCTAAGCCAGTCAGTCAGTTACTCACGTACTCAGTCTTTGTTGTATAGTTGTTTGCAGTCTGATTCTTCGTGACGCGTTTGCAGTTTTCTTTGACAACTATACTGGAGGTTTGCCATTTCCTTCTGTAGCTCATTTTACAGATGAGGAAACTGAGGCAAACAGGGTGAAGTGACTTGCCCAGAGTCACCCAGCTAGTAAGTGTCTGAGGCTGAGATTTGAACTCAGGTCCTCCTGACTCTAGGCTCAGTACACTTTCCACTGCACCACCTTGCTGCCCTATTCAGCCTTTACTATATGTAAAGCTAAGCACTGAGGATACAATGAAAGGCAAAAGCAATCACTTGCCCTTTGGGGACTTCACATTCCAGTGAGAGAGACAACATGCAAATAACCAGGGATGTCGATGGAAGGTAATCTCAGAGCAAAGACTAGGCTGGGGGGACCCAGGAATGGCCTCTTGCGAAAGGTGAAACTAGAGGGGAGTGAAAGCAAACTAGGAAAAGTACTATGAGGAGGAAGTAATGGGGCAGAGCCTTCCTGGAGTAGAGACCGGACGGGAGGCTCAGAGACCATTTCAGTGGCTTTCCAGGTGGGATGTAATGAGGGCCTGGATTAGGGTGGTGCTTTTGACTGGCAAGAAGCAGACATGAATGAGACATATTGTGAAGGCAGAAATGACCAGGTTTGGCAGTGATTGGATATGGGAGGTGAGTGGGGAGTAGGAGTCAAAGAAGACACTGAGCCCTGGATGACTGGGAGAATGGCGGAACCCTCAACAAGAAGAGGCAAGTTGGGATGAGGGCAGAGTTTGCAGGGGAAAGAAAATGAGTTCAGTTGTGGACGTTTTGAGTTTAAGAAGAATAGAAGACATCCAGTGCAACATACCCAACAGGCGACTGGAAATGTGAGTCTGAAGATTAGGGCTGGAAAAGTCAATCTGGGAATCTTATGCATGGAAATGACAACTCTAACCAATGGGAGTTGATGAAATCAACAAGAGAGAGAGTTTGGAGGGCAAAGGGAAGAGGGCCCGGGACAGAGCCTTGGAGGATTCTCCTGGCCTGGATGGAGAGCCTACCAAGGAGGCTGAGGAGCGGCCAGTCAGATAGGGAGGAAAGAGGAGTACCTTGATCCCAGAGAGGAGAGAGTATCTGGGAGGGGAAGGTAGATGATGGCAGTGTCAGTTGTACATAGAGGTCAAGAAGGATGAGGAGTGTTCTCGAAGGCAGCAGCAGCGCAGCACTGGCCTCCCATGTAGGCATGCTGACACTCTTGGCCCGGGCTTCTAAAGGCTTCTCCTTTGGTACAGACTGGGCTGTGATGGGATTTCCCCACTCTGAGCACACCCTCTCTAGCTCCCACGCTGTCTGTCCCAAAGGTAGCACAGACCTCAGAGGGCAGCTGGTCTGACTTGTACCTGAACCGGAATCCCTTCCACATCACACCTGACAGGTAGTCATCCAGCCTCAGCTGACAGAGCTCCAAGGAGGGCAGGCTTACTACTTCCAAGAGTGGCCCATTCAGTTTTGGGACAGCTCTAACAATTGGGAAATATTTTTCTTATATAAAGCCTAAATTTGCTCCTTTGTAGCTCGGCATTTCTAGTTCTTCCTTTTGGGCCAAGCCAGGCAAGTGTGATGTTTCTTCCCTATGACAGCACTTCAAAAACTTGAAAATAGGGTGGCTAGATGGCATAGTGGATAGAGCACCGGCCTTGGAGTCAGGAGGACCTGAGTTCAAATCCTGCCTCAGACACGTAACACTTACTTAGCTGTATGACTCTGGGCAAGCCATTTAATCCCAATTGCCTTGCCCAAAAACACAACCACCACCAACAAAAAAAACCTTGAAGACAGTTGTCATGGCATTTGGCCTTTCTCTAGTCCTGGATCTGTCCCTCACTTACTGGGTGACCTCGGGTCATTCCCTGATTTCTCTTCTGTTTGATTATACAAATTCCCTTCCTGCTCCAGCCTTCACATAGCTGCAAAATAGTTTTTGTGAGACTCAGCCCTGACTGTTACTTTTTCGCTCCATAGCCTTCCGTGGCTCCCCATTGCTTGTGGAGTATAATAAGCCTCCTTAGCCGAACTTAAAGGTTCTCAGTAGTTTGTCTCTAAACTGCTTTTCCTGACTTTACTGCTTCTAACACTGTACTTTCTAGCCAGACTCTTTTATGGCCCATTCCTAGAACCCATCCTCTCCCCTTTCTTGCTTGATGAATTGGCTCAGGCTACCCTTCTGTGCTTCAAATGTACTCTTTCCTCATCTCTGCCTGTTTAAGCTCATATTATTGCTTCAAGGCCAGGCCCAGATACTACCTCCTTCACAACCCCTTCCCTGATAAAAATGAGCTCTCCCAACTCTTATTTTCTAGAGTTCTTTGTATCACTCCTTTGTCCCATTACTCTCTACCTTATATCATAGTTCATTGTAGACACTCTCTTTCTCTCTGACCCTCCCATCTCTTTTGACTGTGTATTAGAAACAGTTACTTCATACTGCAGTGAATCTGCGATTTCCCCCCTGCCTCACATGACACAGACTGTACCCCTTCCCTGTTTGCCCATCCTGTGTAACTTTGGTCCATGGATGCCCATAAATTTGACATTGGGTACCTTCCTGTCTCTCTCCTGAAAATGTAAACATACCAGGGGAACCACAGGACATCCAAACGTTGGCCTTTGCTCTTGCTACCAGACCATCCCTCCTTTTCAGATTGTACACTGATTTGACGGTATCTTTTATTTTAATTCATCTTTGTAGTCTTCTGTGTGTCACGGGTTACAGCTTGTTCACATCCAGCATGTGTTTTGCCTTGACACTTCTTGGGATAATCAGTTTCAGTTTTTTCAGAAGCTGTAATGGTCTGTAATCACAACTGTAGGAGAGGACTGCTAGGCTATTGGTATAAAAAGAGACCTTCGGGGCAGCTAGGTGGCGCAGTGGATAGAGCACCGGCCCTGAAGTCAGGAGGACCTGAGTTCAAATCCGACCTCAGACCAAACACTTGACACTTACTAGCTATGTGACCCTGGGAAAGTCACTTAACCCCAATTGCCTAAAAGCAAAAAAATAAAAAGAGACCCTCATTTTAGGTTGTGAGGAAGGTGAATTTTAGTGTGTGTAAAGTGAATTTTTTGTTATTCTTTCTTAGAGTTTTCTTCCATAGCCATAACAATCTCTACTTCCCAGGTGTTAGATATGAGTTCTCACAATCATGGTTCAAAACAGTTTCAACCATGCTTGTGCAGTAGATATAGGGATGAAGTGATGTAAAATTGTGAGGCTATTGCTGGCAACATGCCTTCTTTGTCTGTTACCCTGTAAAGCAAGTGGGCACTGGTCAGTGACTGGGGACCCCCGATAGGGGTGAATGTTCAGGCTGAATGCTGTACATGCTTCGATCATCCCCCATCTAGGCGTGGGAGGGGGAATCTATGTGTTTGCGTCAACCAGCTCCCATCAGGGCGTGAGGGGATTTAGGGAAGTGCACAAGTTGTACTGGTCTCAACTGACCCCATCCAGATGAGTAGGTAGCTGCACCCTGCTTCATGCCAGCTGCTGTGAGAAGGGTTGTTAGGGAATGCTGTGGGAGTTGGTGTTCCTATTATCAGCAAACTCTCTTTAAGAAGACTAGACTAGACTAAAGTAAGCTTATTTAACCCCTTATTATAACTCCATTCGTGTCTTCCAGTCTGACCAGATCAAAAGCAAACCTGCTAGTGAGAGAGATGCTAGAAGCCCTCCTGTGTCACTTTTCTAAGAAATGGTGTTGATATGTTTATTAGTCCAACATAGGTAAAAGCTTGGGTTCCCTTAGATTGTTGGGCCCACCTTTCTCCTGTTGAATTATGAGCCCGACTTGTCTATTTGTATTATCTCATGTACATACACACAGAGAGCACTTTCAAGGGTGTGTGTGTGTGTGTGTGTGTGTGTGTAATTGGAAGTGAATTTCTGGAAAAACATAGCTGACTCTGTTTTGTTCTGTATTAACCATTTTGCTGTCTATGAATCCTCATAAACTGCAAAACCAGATGCAGCTCTGATGCCCTGCAGAGTCCCCTTTTTTTTACATATGTGTACAAAAAGACTTAGTTGCTGAAGGTGAAGGATTGAGTCCTCCCTTGTCTGACCTGATAGGCAGTTATCTTTGATTTAGTGAAACTAGCTATACCAAGAAGGTAGATACCCTGTCTATCCCCTATAGCAAGTGATACACATTTTCTTTTAACAAGTAGGTTTGTTTGTTTATTTGTTTTTGGTGTGGCCACCTGCATTTTAATGAGTAGCCATTTTTCTTTTCTTTATTTACTATCCTGTATAAATATCACTTGCTAAATTGTGAATAACACATTCCCCATCAACCACTGGTGGAGAATAATATACTTTGAATGTAATAAAACCAGTTTCTGATTTGTGCTGGCTTATTTGGCATTAGCTAGTTGAATTGATAAGTAAATTCGTTAGATAATTCATAGACACATATGCTGAAGGACAAACTCTAGGTTGCATGTCAGTCTTGACTATAGGTATTCTTCATGCACTCTACTGGTTTTACCTGTGTGGATGGTTGGGGCAGACAGACTTCGTCTAGGAGGTTCTGCAGTGTTCTAGAGCTTGATACAACCAGTCTGGTGTCCTCTGCAAACAGGAACATCTAGGGAACCTGACCAACTATTGGGAATCCCTCTTCACCTTGGACTCTGCCTTGGAACTCTATGACAGTGGTGAATGAACATCTGGCAAGCAGATATCTCCTTATTTCTGACTTAGCTGATGGTAATGATTGTTATGGTCAAAAAAAGTTATATCTGTTATGTCTTTCATAAAATCTTACATAACTTTGATGTGTACACGGAAAACTTTGTTGGAAAAAGGCCTTTGAGTTTGCATGTTGTGTTGCCAAATTCAAGGCTTTTTATAATCAATAAGCAATAAATACAATGAGATCTTTCTGTTAGTTGCATGATGGCAAAGATGTGGTTTAAGATGGAATAATGCTTGTAAAAAATTGACTGTTCTCTAACAGTACCATGACCAGTCATGCCCTTGATACCTATCTCATGATCCTTATAAATGTCTTTATTTAGATGGGCAAGTAGGCATATGCTTTAGTGCCCTACTCCATTTTCTCAATGAGTCAGGGTTACTCTTGGGGTTTGTAGGAAATAATGGAAGAGGAGCATTGATCCAGTTCCTCTGTTTACATTATTTCCTATGTTTTTAGCAGATACTGCCCTGTAAAATGAACGATTTTTCAATGAACTAACCACCAAACCCAGGAGAGAAACAGGCCACGTGTATAAAACTTAGAAATCTGATAATGAAGTTTATTAAAAGTTAGTCTTTGTAGCTAGTGGAGGTCTTTAGGTCAGGTGGAGATAAGATGAGGTGCTCCTCAGGTGTCTTGAGTTGGGTCAGCACTGCTAGCCAAGATTACAGAAGTTCACAGTCACAGACTGGCCAGTTGGAAAAAGGAACTGATCAAGGGAAAGGGCAGCGCTTTTCTAAATATCCTCTCCCAGTAACCTCTGGAAGTGTTGAAGCACCAAAAATAGCTTTCCACCAGCTCTCTGGCTCAGATCTGCCCAGATTGGGAGAAGAGAGCGTATCAGCGCTTGTGTTACCCTCTAGTTTAAGAACTCTAAATGGCTAGGGAGTGGGATAGGAATCCGCCTAAACTCCCCCACCCAACGTGACTCACAGACCCTTTCTGAAGCATATTAAGGGTATTTCAGTTTCCTAGTTCCCTGGAATTCTAGGGCCGTGATTGACAGAATAGGGTGCCGAGAATGCGACCAGGTGGCTCATCCTTCTTATCTCTACTTAAGATGGGGAAATCTGCTATCTGTAAGAGCTAGGGGAGACTGCTGAGAAAATACTGCACCTGGGCTGAGCTGAGCATATCACAATTTTAGAAACGGGAAGAAGTCAAGTTAGAGATATAAGGCAAGATGGTGAAATTTCACTAAGTTGGATTGGTGAACAGAAAACAGTTACAGAATCCTAAGGAGTTTTTTTGTTGCCAGGGTTGTTAACTAACCTGCCCAAAGCCAATGAAAATGACCTTTAGGCTTGCTTCTTAAGGGAGAACAATAGAGCCTTTATTCTAAGGAATTGCAGCTTTTCCTTTGGAGTCTGACCGAGATAGGAGTGGGAGATGGGACAGGAAACCACAATATTAAAGGGGAAAAGGATCAAGTTTACCAACTTAGGTCTGTGTACATTTTCTAGCAAGCAATGTCAGCATTTAGTAGGTTCAAGGCAGAAGGCTGTTATTTGCAATTTCAGAATTTTTAAAGGTAGACATCCTTATACAATATGAACAAGAGTATAGAACCAGAGACCAGACAGTATGGAAAGCATTGCAGGCAGCAAGTTCTGTTGGCCTTGATAGCGTAGGGAGTTGGTGATGTCCTCTCCTCAGTCGCCTTTTTTTTTTTCCCCAGTACTAATAAGGGCTGAGATTTTTCCCCAAAAACCTGTGGTATCTTCCCATACCTTTTTCACATACCTTGTGAATCATTCCCTCAACATTAGGAATGACTGATAAGTCATATTATTGAGAAATCATTTCCTATAGGTTTAAATATAATCACCTTAAATTGTTATTTGGTGCTTTCTCTGTCCCTGTTTGGTGCTTGTCATAATAATAATGATAGCTAACATTTATATAGCAATATATATCTATATATTCCCTATAGCTGTGTATTTCTGTATACAGTATTGTTTGATCTCACAACAACCCTTTAAATTCTATTATTCCAGTTTTAAAGAAGGGAAAACTTAGTTCAAGGGAGGTAAAGTGATTTGTCCAGTCACACAGCTAAATCTGAGGCAGGATTTGAACTCAGGTCCACCTGACTCCCAATCTGGCACTCTTTTTTTTTTTTATGTAATTAATTTCTGTTGGTAAACATTGACACCAGCATTAGAAATGTCAGTAGAAAATAAAATTAAAGTTAAATTAAAGTAAAGTAAAAATAAAACTTCAGTTGTTTTCTCTCATACAAAGATTTGATCTTATTGACTGTAGCAGTTGGTGAAATAATCTTAATACAAAAGAGTAAGCTGACTTGAGTTACAGCCAGCATACACTGTATGTTGTGTGCCCAAGGGTAAAGAGCCTTCTGAATGTGGACAGTCAATGGTACCAGTGCTTTAAATTCAATGAAAGTGTTCCTTGGTGTTTCTTTCTTTTCTTTTCTTTTTTTTTAAATTAGGCTTTATAACATAACAAGACTAGAACTTAAACCACAGCAATTAGGAAATAAGGCTAGACTGAAAAGTTTTTAAAAGCTTGGCAGATGAATAAATTTATACATATAAGAGGAAGATTTAGAAGGTAATTCTGTGCATGAGCAAAACTTATCTCACTAGCACCACATTTCATAAAAGGTTAGGTTTTTGTTGCTTAAAAAAAATAGTAGAAGGCTGCACTGATGCTGGAATAAAGATATATTTTGACCCCATGATCTCCTTTACTCTGGAATTAATTTTTGTACATTTAGAAACATTTCCATGAAAGCTCATTTTCCATTACAAAGTGCCAAAATAAAGATCAGCCTTAATGGTTTATGAGGGGAAAAAAAACCCCAAGGAAGAGGCACAACATTGGTTTTATCAGCTTCTTTTTGACATAGAAGGAATTAAACAGAGGGAATTATCATCTGTCCTTAGGAAATTCAATTTTTTTGGGGGGAAATAAACAGTTCCCAAAACCATATATTAAAGTTTTGTTTAAACAAAGCAGACGTTTCTTTTCAGATAACTGCATATCTGATAGCAGAATAAAAGATAGAAGTTTCATTGTTTAGCTTTACATAAACAATTGCTTCCTGAAAACTTAATTCAAGCTACATATATTTCACATAAAATCTATGTAGAGCATTCATAAGCCATTCAAAAGAGCATATCATGTATTGAGACTGACCATATAAACATTGAATATCCAATAATCTGAGGATAGATATGCTATATGCTGAAGAGCAGCTGAACCAAAAAAAGATGGAAGAAAGCAGATAGAAATTAGAGGCCTTTCCCGATGCCTTATTCTTTGTGCTTTGGCTCAATCGTAACAACTAAACCCCAGAACCACGACAGTAATTATATATATCGAGAGAGATATGTGTATATACATTTATGTGCATATATAATATAATTGGATATAACAGCTGTCATGGATATATCCTATAGAATAACAGAATCGAAATAATCTCTTATGACCCTGTTAAATGAGTCCAATATTGTACTGCAGCATAGCTAACATTTCTTAGCCTGAAATTACCAATTAGGAGTATTTTTGCAAGTAGTAGTCCCCTGAAATGGACTAATGTACTCAACCAAAAAGCTCCTTGAGATAAAAGCCTAAAGATTAAATATCTCTGTGATCTAAAGGAAGGCCCCAAGCACTCTGAGTCAGCTCCCTGAGGGAACATTTATGAGAAGTCACGGAAGTCATGGTCAAGAGGTCCACAGGATAAGATGGTGTGGCTGGGCCACAGTCTGCATCACTGGATGGAACGCCTACATCTTTGCCAGTCTTAATCTACTGTGCCACCCAGCTGCTTTGTCATATTCAGAGCCTTCTGATTCTTTTTTTGTCTTTTTTTTTTTTTGGCTAGGCAATGGGGTTAAGTGACTTGCCCAGGGTCACACAGCTAGTAAGTGTTATGTGTCTGAGGCCAGATTTGAACTCAGCTCCTCCTGAATCCAGGGCCGGTGCTGTATCCACTGCGCTGCTTAGCTGCCCCCTGATTCTTTTTTTGAAGAAAGGATTTGGGATATGTAGACATGGTTTTTGTTAGTCTGCAGGTCTTTTTGTCTTATTTCATGCCTTTTTCTGGATACTTGTTAGTCACTGAGTGACAAATTGTATATTGAATTTTTTTGGAAGGTCTTTTCAGGTTCTTTGTAGAATTTCTCTTTGTCTTCTACCACCGATCCTGGAGCATAAGTTTATAACTATTTTCATGGCAGTCACTTTGTGAATACTTATCATCACACAATACAGTACAGTGTGATAAAATGGTGTTCTTTGTTGCTTTTTGGCATGTGATAAACCAACTCTTCCCACACCTTTCTTAAGATCGTAGATTTATGGCTAGAGGAGACTTTAGAGGCCATTGAGTCCAAATTACTAATTTTATAGATGAGGAAACTGAGGTTGACTAGTCCAGAGTCACATGGCCAGTGTCAATCTGTGAGCCATGTTTTCATTTATCTGCAACTTCCTTCTGTCTTCTGGATTTATTTATAGCAAAATCAATAGGATTGATACAAATTAAGGAATAGTATGTTGGTTCCTTGATCATTGAATAAGAGCCTCACATTTGGAGTACCAACAGCTAAGTTAATGTATATGCATATTTTTTACTGTACGATTCATGGCTCCCTCTGCTGTGCACATGGTATGCACAGAATATAAATGTCTGTTGAGTCAGGGTATGATTTACCTCTCCCTCTGCCAGGGACACAGCCCAGACCCGAGCCCTGTTTGAGAAGCATCGGCCTACACATGTCATCCATTTGGCAGCCATGGTGGGTGGCCTCTTCCGGAACATCAAGTATAACCTGGACTTCTGGGTAAGGAAGGCGTCTGCCCTTGGAGCTCGGAAATGGGGAAGACCCAAGAAGGTGATTTCTTTTCCCTTCAAGGCACTTCCTCTTCCTCCTTCTCCCCCAATTTCCTGAGGTGCTGTCCTGGGACTTCTCAGGAGGAAGGGTGCCCAATGGTAGGATTCATTCCTGTGTAGAATTATCCAAGCATTAGACCCTTCCTAAGGACCAACTATATGCCCAGGGTTCCTGGATGCTGGGAGAGAGAAACATGACAGAGCCAGAGATTTAGGGGCTCATTGCAGAGCTGGGGAGACTGATATTTTTTTTAAGGTTTTAGGCCCTAATACCACGTATGTCTGTGCATGTGATTGAAGACCAACATGGAGGGTACAGTTCCATTCAACCACCTTTTATTAGGCACGTACTATATTGGTTGGAGCAGCAGTTTGGGTTAGGCCTCTGCTAAGGGCATGATCCCTGAGCACCAGTAGTAACCAAAGCCCCAGCTCTCCCCAGTCACACCCCCTAGGCCTGCCAGCCCCTCAGTCCTACTTGGATTCGGCCTGGGTTGAAGTTCAATTGCAATCTGATAGCTTTGTAACCTTTCAGGAAGCACTGTCAACTCTGAACTTCCATATTTCCATTTTTATAATAGTGATTTAATATTTAAACTAGGTACAATGATACTGGTACTGCTTCCTTCAGAGGGTTGTTGTGAGCAAAGCGCTTTGTAAACATTAGAGTTCTGTAGAAATGGGGAGATACAAGTATTGATTCAGAACTGAGAATGTCAGGGTTGGAAGGGACTATAGAGATCCTCTAATCCAGGGGTTCTTAACTTTTTTCATGTCATAGGCCCCTTTGGCAGTCTGGTGGGTCTGTGGGCCCCCTTCTCAAAATAATATTGTTGGGGTTTTTTATTTACATATTTCATTTTTTTCAATCAGCAAAAATCTGCCTTCTTTCTCCACCCCAACCTACCCTCCCTCCCAAATGAGAATGAAAGAAAAACAAGACCCCTGTTTCAAACATGAGTAATCAGGCAAAATACATTTCCACGTTGGTCATGTCCAAAAAATATATATATATGTCTCCCTCTGTGCTCGAGTCCTTCACCTTTCTACCAGGAGGTGGGTAGCATGCTTCATCATTAGTCATCTGGAAGTCTGGTTGGTCATCACTCCAGTCAGAGTCCCTAATTCTTTGAAAGTTTGTTTTTTTTAAAGTCTTTACCATATCATTGTCATTGTATGAACTGTTCTCCTAGTTCATAATACTGTTTTTAAATGTAGACAACAAAATTCAGAGGAATACAAAGGAAAGCAGTTCTATTGAAATACTACACACACACACAGATGTAGGTATAGTTATATATAGATATTTGTATGTGACTGAGGTCACAGACCCCATGATCTGCATTTTTTTTTTGTTTTTTTGTTGGTGAGGCAGTTGGGATTAAGTGACTTGCCTAGGGTCACACAGCTAGTGAGTGTTATGTGTCTGAGGCCAGATTTGGATTCAGGTCCTCCTGAATCCAGGGCTGGTGTTCTATCCACTAGGCCACCTAGCTGCCCCTCATCTGCATGTTTTCTGGGCTGCAGTTTGATCCTCTCCTCTTGCCTCCTTGAGGCAGTATGGTATAGTGGATTAGACTTAGGTTCTAATCCTGATTCTGCTACTTACTATGTGACTTTGGGTAAGTCACTTTGCCTGTTAGCCTCAATTTACTCAACTATAAAGTGAGGACAATAATAATTGTACTATTCACCTTCTAAGGAAAAGTGCTTTGTAAACTTTAAAGGACCATAGAATTAAGGAGTCACAGAATCTGAGTTGGCAAGGATTTTAAAGGCCAACTTGTTAAGCCTGTACCTGCATAAGAATTCCCTCTACAACACAGCCAACATTTGGTCATCCAGCCTTTGCTTCAGGTCTTGCCTGAAGATCTACTGAGCTCATTTCACTTTTGGACAGTTCTAGTTATTGGGAAACCTTCATTTTCATCAAGCCAAAATCTTCTTGACTGTAGTGTCTTCCCACTAGTTCTGTCCTCTGAGATCATGCAGAACAAGGCTAATTTCTCTTCCAGATGAGAGCCTTTCAGGTATTTGACCACAGCTAGTATTCTAGATCTGTCCAAACTGCTCATTTTACTGAAGAAGGAACTCAGGCCCAGAGAAGGCAGCTAGTTCAAGGTCACATAGCAAGCCTGTGACAGAGCTGGACCGAAGACCTTGACCTAGTACCCTTTTGCTGCGCCACTTATAAAGGCTCAAGCCAGAATTTGAGCCAAACTTTGTAAACAGAAATTGGTCATCATTACCTTTCTCTTTTCAGTTCAGAATATCTTTGTGCTTAAAGAGTGGGCCCTTCAAACTATCCCTTTCATCATTGTAGGTCCTGGCATGTATTTGTGCAGAGGAATCTTACAAGTGAATCAAAGGCTTTTGATTCAAAATCATAGAATGTCAGGGCTGGGAGGGAGCTTAAAATGGAGACTCAGGACTAGGAGGAGCCTTAGAGATCATCTAGTCTAATTTTATCATTTACAGAGGAGGAAACTGAGGCCCAGAGAGGGAAAAGGAGATGTTCACAGTCACTTAGTGAATTGGGGACAGAACAGCACTAGAGCCTATGTCTCCTTATGCTCAGCCCTGGACTCTCCTCTGACTTTCCCTGCTTCTTTTTCCAGCAGGGACCAGAATTCAATACATCCACTTAATTCATATTGACTGAGGGCCTTACATAGTGGTAGTGGGGAGGAAATTATTTCTAAGGCCCTATCTAACTTGGAAATCATATGACTTAGGAGTCCAAAATCAAAGATTCTTTTGTGAGTGAGAAGGGGGCTTTGTGGTGTATGAAGGGGAGAATCGAGAGGCAAGGTTAGGGATGTGGCTGACAATCAGATTATAGGAACCATAAAGGCAAGGCTAAGGAGTCTGAATTGTGTCCTGGAGGCAGTAAGGGAGCCATTGAAGGTTTTTGGGCAGGGGACCTATACCTTAAAATTACTTGGGTAGCCTGTGAAGGATAGGTTATAGGGAGAGACTTGATCCAGGAGGACCAGTTATAAGACTTAAAACATTCCACTTGAATGTGGTAACAGCCTCTTAAACTAGACTGCAGAGTGGCGAAAATGAGAATGGAGAAGAGAGGACATATGGGACAGATTTTTGGAGGTCAGCTGAAAAGGAATTGGCAATAGATTGGAGGAGAGAGGGAAAGGAAGACAACAGATGACTGGCTGAGCAGGGAGGTCACATTCTGTCTCTCGCCTCTCCAGAGGAAGAACATTCAGATCAACGACAATGTCCTGCACTCAGCCTATGAGGTGGGCACCCGGAAGGTGGTCTCCTGCCTCTCCACCTGTATCTTCCCTGACAAGACCACCTATCCCATCGATGAGACCATGGTAAGGACCCCTGCCCTCGAGTGCCTGATGGAGGGAGGGGAGAGGGCTGGGCAGAAGGGGCAAGTGGAGGTATGGCCCCCCCAGTACCTTTGGGCCTCAAGGATGTCTTTCTTTCTCTTTCTCCCCCCTTCTCTCCCCTTTCTCACCCCTACATTCAGATTCACAACGGACCCCCACACAGCAGCAACTTCGGCTACTCCTATGCTAAGCGCATGATCGACGTGCAGAACAGGTCTGGGCTGGTTGGGAGGCAGCAGTGCCAAAAGCCCCAGGCCACTGTCCTATCTCATCACACACACCTTCCAAGCCTCACAGGCCCCACAGTCCAGCCAAGCAATCAACAAGCACTTATTCAGCACCTACTGTATTAAACACCGGGGATACAAACATGATAACAATAGAGTTATTAGAAAAATAGCTGGCATTTATGTAGCCTTTACTCTATGCTAGGCACTGTGCTAAGTGTTTTACAAATATTTTATTTCAGAAAGGAAGTAAACCCTTCTCTCATTAAGGTTTTGGTCAATGCTTACATATATAATCAACCAGTCAAGCATTTATTAAGTACCTATTATGTGTCAGGAACTTTGCTACCTGCTGGAGATACAAAGGACAAATAATATCAATCCCTACCTTTGAGGAATTTACCTTCTAATTTGGGAGACAATGTGTACATAAATAGGCATAGATAAGATACTTGCAGAGTGAAAGGAGGGTAACCTTAGAGCAGGAGGCACTAGGGTCAAAAGGGACCTAGAAGGACTTTCTGTAGACAGTGGCATTCCAGCTGAGTCCTGAAGCAAGCCAGAGATGCTGAGAATTGGAGATGGAAGGGAGGGCATGTCAGGCAAAGGGGACAGCCAGTGCAAAGGTATGGAGATGGGAGTGGAGGGTTGTATATGAGGAATCGCAAGAAGGCTAGTATGATGAGACTGTAGAGGGGAGTAATGCATAAGAAGACTGGCAAGATGGGGGAAAGGGACTGGGCTGTGAAGAGTTTTATTTTTTAAATAAGTTTGTATTGATGTGTTGCTTTTTTTACTTCACCATAGTTTTCCCTCCCAGAGAGCCATCCCATATAACAAATAATATTTTTTAAAGAGGGGGAAAAGGGGAAAATGAGAGAAATAATTTATACATCAAAAAAGTTTGAAAATATATGCAGTGTATAGGACTTGTGGTCCTTTCATCTCTGCAGAGGGGGTCAGGTCAGGGTATCTTCTCATTTCTTTTCTTTCAAGGCACGCTTGGTCTTTATAATTTTGCAATATTCACTTTTGACTCGTGTGTGTGTGTGTGTGTGTGTGTGTGTGTGTGTGTGGTTTTTGTTTATATTGTTGTAGTCATTTTTATATAGTTTTCCTGGCTCTGCTTATTTCACTCTGCATCAGTTCATGTGGATCTCTTCACACCTCTCTATATTCGTGATTTCTTACAGCATAGTAGCATTCCATTACATTCATGTACCATAATTTGTGTAGCTGTCCCCCAATCAGTGTGCCTCTGCTTTGTTTCCAGTTCTTTGCTATCAGAAAAAATGCTGCTATAAATATTTTGGTTTATCAATAGCTTCTTTGGGGTATGAGTCTAATAATGGAATCTCTGGGTAACAGGGGTATAGGCCTTTTAGTTACTTTATTTACATGATTCCAAATTGTTTTCCAAAATGGTTGTACTGATTCACAGCTCCACCAACAATGTACTAATGTGAATATCCTTCCTCCTTGCTCATACTTCTTTTGGAGAAGATTTCAGGGAAGGGTTGGGAAGGGTTCCAGGGAGGTGATGTCAGGATAATGGGCCAAGGACAAGGTTCAGGATGAGGTTGAGGTATAGGGTATAGTCAGGGTCATGATTTAGGGGGAGTCCTTAGTACTGGACCCAGGAGAACCATATAGCAGCTCCTTCTGCACTGTATGTTTTCTGGGCTGCAGTTTGATCCTCTCCTCTTGCCTCCTTGAGGCAGTATGGTATAGTGGATTGGAAGGAGGAAGACTCAGGTTCTAATCCTGACTCTGCTACTTACTATGTGACCTTGGGCAAGTCACTTTGCCTCTGAGCCTCAATTTCCTCAGCTATAAAATGGGGACAATAATAATTGTACTAGTCACCTTCTGAGGAAAAGTGCTTTGTAAACTTTAAAGGACCATAGAATTAGGGAGTTACAAAATCTGAATTGGTAAGGATTTTAAAGGCCAACTTGTTAAGCCTGTACCTGCATAAGAATTCCCTCTACAACACAGCCAACATTTGGTCATCCAGCCTTTGCTTCAGGTCTTTCCTGAAGACTCTAGTGAGCCCATTTCACTTTTGGACAGTTCTAGTTATTGGGAAACCTTCATTTTCATCAAGCCAAAATCTTCTTGACTGCAGTGTCTTCCCACTAGTTCTGTCCTCTGAGATCATGCAGAACAAGGCTAATTTCTCTTCCAGATGAGAGTCTTTCAGGTATTTGACCACAGCTGTCATGCTCCTCTAAGCCTTTTCTTCTCTCTGGTAACCAGTTCTTTCAACATATTGGCATGACCACAAGGCTTCCATCATCCTGGTTGTCCTCTTTCCAAAAATATGGCGCCTACAACTGAACGCAGTACTCCAGAGCACAGCAGGAGAGGCTCAGTTCCCTAATTCTGGACGCTCTACCTGTACTAATGCAACCTATAATATACGTTTGCTTGTCTCCTGTATCACACTTTTGCTTCATTGGGCCCAAGATTTTTTTCAAACACTTCTTTCTACTCATACCTCCACCATATCATATTTATGAAGCAAGAGTAGGACTTCACATTTATCCCTATGAAATTTCATCTTATTCTAGCCTGTAGAGATATTTTTGAGTCCTGCCATATCAGATAGCTAAGTTATCTCACTTTTGTGTCATCAGCAAATTTGATAGTCACACCATCTATGCCTTTATCCAGGTCATTGAAGCCAAGGACAGATCCCCAGATCACACCAGTAGAGACCTCCTTACATGCTGACATTGAACAATGACTAATTCAAACAGTTCTGAATTCACTTACTTGTATCTCTCTCCATGTTCTCCAAAAGGATAGCATAAGTTTTAAAAGTTTTTAAATATTTTGCCAAAATCCAGACAACTTATATGATTTACATTCTCCTGATCTCCTCCTAGTCTAGTAACACTGTCCAAAAAAAAAAAATGAGGTTAATTTTTCATGACTCATTTTTAATGGAGCCGAGGTGGATCTTTGTGATCTCTGTGTGTTTCATTTTCTAGATGTTCCTTCTCTTTAGTGGCATATTGTAGAATTTTTTCCAGGAATCAAGGTCAATTATAATAATTTGTAGATTTCACTTTCTTTTTTGAAAAATAGGACATTCTCCCTTCTCTAGTTTTATGGTATCTGTCCTCTTCTTCATGGTCTTTTAGAGACCACTGACAGTTGCTCAGCAACCACATCCATCACTTCTTTCAGTGGGATATAATTCATCTGGTCCCAATGACTTGAATTCATTGAGAACAGTCAGATGCTCTCTTTAATATGTCCCCATTTATGTTGGGTGTAAACTCCTTATTAGCTATTTTTGTTCTGTCCTTCCAAGTTCCAAGATATTCTCCTGGATGGAAAATAAGAAAAGTAGGAGTAGACTAGTTCAGAATTCTCTCTGTTGTGTGTTATTTCATCTAACCCAAGGAACAGTCCTATTCCTTCTTTGAGTCTCTTTTCCCCCTAATATAGCTTAAAAAAACAAAAAAAACTTTTTTGTTCTCCTTATCTTTCCTTCCTAGTATTCTCATTCTTAACTTTTGCATTCCTGACACTTCCAGAATCATGCCAAACATTTGTATTCACTCTGTTACCTTCTTTTGAGTCCATTTCTGGTGTCTTTTAGAAGTCTAAATATGTGATTGGGTTCTCTGTGCATTCACATCTCTTAACAACTCCCCCATCCTCATCAGAATCGTTTTATTTTATCTTCAAGATCTCAATTATTATAAGATTGGCTGTTATGATTACAGGATTGATTTTTTTTGTAGGGTCTCAATTATATATCTTAACATATCCCCCCATCCTCCCAAGGCCTATAGAAATACAGTTTATGAGAATCTACTTGACTGGGCTGGTCCCCTAGTGACAAGTTTGTCACTGGGCTATACTTAAATCCCCGTCTGGATTAAAATATGTCACTAAGGCAGAGCCTCTGAGAACCCCGAGTGCTCTCTGTGCTGTGATGAAGCATCAGAGATGTCTTGTTATTGTTGCCAAATCTTGTCATTTCTACTTTCCCAGCATCTTGTATTCATTCCTTCTCTCTGCTCATCCAGGAGCTCCTCACTTCTCACCAGAACTAGTACAGTAGCCTTCTACTGCTCTCCCTGCCTCGGTCTCTCTCCATCCTAATCCATCCTCCACTTAGCTATCAAAGGGATTTTTCCTAAAGCACAAGTCCAATTGTATCATATCCCTTCCCTACTCAAAAAACTCCAGTGGTTCCTTCCTGTTACCAGGATCCGATATAAAGTCCCTTTTCTGCCATTGAAAGCTCTTCATAATCTGACCCTTTTCCACTTTTCCAGCCATCTTCTACTTTCCTGCCTTCCAACCACCCCATCTAGGATCCAGCTACACTGGCCTGTTTGCTGTTTCTTGATCCCAGCTCCTAGGGCAGCTAGGTGGTACAGTGGATAGAGCTGTGGCCTTGGAGTCAAGAGGACCTGAATTCAAATCTGGCCTCAGACACTTGACACTTACTAGCTATGTGACCTTGGGCAAGTCACTTAACCCCAATTGCCTCACCAAAAAGCAAATAAATAAATGAAGTATTTGATCCCAACTCCCCCTCCCTTCTGTGCTCCTTTCTACTTGCTGCCCCCCATGCCTGGAATGAATAGGCTGCCCCCTGCTTTCTGATTTCCTTCAAGACTCTGCTCAGGTCTTGCATAATAATGCACAAAGCCTTTCCTGAAAGTGTTCTCTCCTCCTTCTCCCTCCTCTAGTGCCTTCTCTTTTAAGGTTATCTACCATTTACTTTGTATGTGTGTGTGTGTACCTCATTATTTCCATCATGACACTGAGATGTGAGCTCCATGGGAGCAAGGACTCTTGTTGCCTAGTATCTTCAACACTTAGCACAGTTCCTGGCCCATAGTTAGCTCCTAATAAATGTTTGTTGAGTGACTGATTTGGATCTCTTACCTTCAGTTGGTATCAGTATTGAACGAGAAACATGAATGTCATCAGCATTATTATTATGTGTGCCTGGCATATGGTGGGTGCTTAATATGTTAGTAATTACTGGTTGATTGTCCTCAGCCATGGCTCTCCGATTCATTTCGACCAGCATTTATTAAGCATCCAGTTGTGCATTGGAAAAATAACAGCCCAACACTTCAGTAATATTTTACATAATCTCATTTGATCCTGTCACAACGAGCCTGTGAGGGGTGGGTAGTGCCAGCATCACTATCCCAATCTTTTGGATGAAGATATAGGCCCATTGAGGGGAGGGGACTTGACTAAAGTTGGATGGTAAGGAGTGGAACTGGGGTTTAAGCTCAGGTCTCACAGAATCTGAGAGCTAGAAGGACCTTCAGTGGCCATATGGTCTAACCCATACATAAGAGGAATCCTCACTATATATAACCCTACCCAACAAGTAGTCCTCCAGCCTGGACATCCAAATCCAGGTTGTGACCACTGCACTATAGCTGACCCCACCTCTTCTGTGAGCCTTAGTTTCTTTGTCTGCTCAATGAGTCAGATTTTAAGATCCTTTCCAGCCCTCACACTCTGAAAAAAGCATCACCTCCTGCTGCAGGTAGCTAAGGTGCTTAAAGATGGACTGAGCTAGGGCCCTTTGGGTAAGCACTATAAATGTCTTTATACAGTTCCTGTGTGCTCAGTCCTGAGCCCAGTCCAGCTTGGGAGGAGGGAAGAGGAAGAAGAAAACCAAGACCGTACCTCAGGGACCTCCCAGCCAGGAGAGAGAACACAAGATAGGATAAGGATAGGATCCAAGTCTGGCCATGTGGTCCAGAATACCCAGGCTGGAGAAGTAGGAGGAGAGAGATGTCACTGACTATGGGAACAGTCAGAGGGCTTCCTGCAGGAGGTGGGTTGATCTGGACCCTGAAAGATGAATCATGGGTGCCCTGTAAGGAGAGCCCCAACCAGCCTCACCCTCACTCCCATCCCAGGGCTTACTTCCAGCAATACGGCTGTACCTTCACTGCTGTCATCCCCACAAACGTCTTTGGACCCCATGACAACTTCAACATTGAAGATGGCCATGTGCTCCCTGGCCTCATCCACAAAGTCTACCTTGCAAAGCGTGAGTCTGTCTGCATCTTTGTGCATGTCTGTTTGCACCTCTTTGTCTTCTATATGCATGTGTGTGCATGTGTGCATCCTCCTGGGACGCACTCCTGATCCCAACTCCAACCCCCACCTTCACTGTGTTAGGCTTAGCCCTGGGAGGATTGTTTGGTCCCAAACTCAAAGCTGAGGTTTTTTGTATGTGTCTTACTCAACTGCTCCACATTTGGCCCCCTCCAGGCCCAGTAGCAGAGTGGTCTGGTCTCTCCTTATTCCATCCTCCTTTCCCCTTTTTTAGGCAGTGGCTCAGCTCTGACCGTGTGGGGCACCGGGAAGCCTCGAAGGCAATTCATCTACTCTTTGGTAAGTGTTCATCCAGATGCCCGAGTTCTCTGTAGGAAGGAGGGCAAGGTTCCTCTCTGATATAGGCCTTTCTAGTCTGCGCCTGTACATGCGCCCACACATACGCATAACTGTCACTACCCCTAATCAGGCTGGGAGCCTGTCTCAGCAATGAAAGGAGACTCTAGCCCTCTAATGGTCTGTGAGTCATCCAGTCTGTGCTAAGGCCCCAAGTGTCCTTGGCCAGAATCAGTCCAGGATGAGGAGAAGGGAACCTGGGTTCAGTATTTACAAAGTTCACAAGCCAGTGTGTGAGTGGAGACAGTCTGCGAGAACAACAGATGGAAATTACGGAGGTGGATTTTTGGTTTGAGGAAAGGAAGCACTTCCTGACAATCAGAGCAGTGGTACAGGAGAATGGACTGCCTCAGGAGTAGTGAGTTGCTTATCATTGGGAAACTGTCAAGACGATTCTTGCCTGGGAGAAACGGGCCTCGGTCATTTCTTAGGGCTCTTCTAACTGAAAGTTGGTGGTTTTCTGAGCTCAGAAAGAAAAGAGGCTATGGATGGAGCCCTCAGAGGAGGTGGGGCCTGAGCTGGGTCTGAGGAAGGCTGTTGTAGATGGTTGTAACCAGCCCTGGATGGCTTTCATCGAGCTGTCGTGGCTTCCTTAAAGACCATCTGCTCCTCCCAACTGCTTGAGGTGATGTCCCCTTGGCTCTGGGCCTCCTCTTGATGCAGGGCTTGGGATTCCTTGCTCTAGTCACAGCCTGTGACCTTGGATAAGTCATGGAATCATCCTGCCCGTACTTGATGTCCTCTAAGATCTCTTTCAGCTCTAAGTCTGTGACCTTTTAGTAGCTCCTGGACTGCCTGTCCTCAAGCCCCCTCTGCCTTTCTTGGCACTCGAGCTTGCTTGACTGAACCACCTGCCCATTCCTCTGTTGTGACCTTTGGTCTTAGTACAAAGGGAATCAGGACCACTAGTCCTAGAGTTCCTCCTTTCCCGGGGCCCACAGGGGCTGGGCTAGGCAGAGCTGTGCCATCAGGAGGGGCTAGGCCACCTAGCCCCTAGGGTTAAACATATGTGGCCCAATGTGACCCTGTATGATCCCAGTCTGTAACTTCATGACCTGAATTTGCCTCTCCCACTGCCTCTAGGACCTAGCCCGCCTCTTCCTCTGGGTCCTTCGGGAATACAATGAGGTGGATCCTATCATCCTATCAGGTACAGAACTCCTCCCACCCTCTTCCCCCACCTCATTCCTATATAGTAAAAGAAGAGGCTGCAGGAACTCAGGTGGGGGAGGGTGGGGGCCAGGAAGAGAAATCCTGATAGGTTGGGGTGATCTTATAAAGTTTCTAGGAAGACATGGGGCAGGAGCTGGTCCCCACAGAAAGATAAGACTTGGGTCATTCATGGGAAAGTGGAAGAGGCAGAACCTGGAGCTGGCCTGATCTAAGACTTTCTTTCAGTGGGTGAAGAGGATGAGGTGTCCATCAAGGAGGCAGCTGAGACCATTACAGAGGCCATGGGCTTCCAAGGGGAGCTGACTGTATCCTTTATTGTGTTAGGGACTGTAGTTAAGCAGGCTAGAGACTGTCAACTTCCCCTGATGCAGGTAGGCTGCCTAGAATGGCAGGAAGAATCTCAGCTGCAGAGCGAGCTTTACCACTGATGGACAGTGTGACCTTGGGCAGGTCCCTTTCTGGGTCTTAGTTTCCTTCTCTAAGACTATGTCTTTCTATTAAAACTTCTCTAGGAGAATAGCCCCCCAAGATCCTTTCTTAGGCTGTGCTTTAGTGAGGATTACTGACAGTCACCTGAATGCAAGAATAGCCCAAGATGTTGGGGAGAGGGTGGTGTCTTGAACAAGTCATAAGAGAATAACTGGGGAATCTGATGATTTTAGAATTTAGGGTAGCAAGCCTGAGTCTCTCACTTTACATTTGGGAAACTGAGGCCCAGAGAGGTTCAGGGTCACAGAGCTCGGAGTGGCCCCCAGCTCCTCCAACTCCATATCCTGAGCTCTCGTTCACTAGTCCCCACAACTCAATCCTACCCAGGATGCTTCCTCCTCTCTTCTTCTTTCCCCAGTTCTGCTACTTTACTTACTAGATAATGTTGCACAATGAGCAAAAGTTAGAGCCAGGGCTAAAACCCAGTCCTCCAGTCTCCCAGTCCTTTTGTTCCTAGGATGTTGGGGAGGACAGGATTAGGACATATTGAGTATTCAATGAGCTGCTGATCCTTGGTCCCCAGGCCCTGAAGCCTGACCTTCTGGGGCCAGCCAGCCCTGAGGAAGGGAACCCTGGATGCTCCATCAGGCTGGCCCTTTGAGACAGGGTAGGGGACTTTGAGTGGAGCTTGAATGAGGGGTTGGAAGTCTGTATGGTTTGAGATGGACAGGGGACAGTGAGAGGAAGGAGATGGCTCAGATATCAACCTCCCTCCCCAACCTGGTTCTCCCAAGCAACTCCTTTGTCCTGCCACAAAACCCTCCAGTTTGGCTTTGACCTTGACCCAGGGTCACTGATAGTTTGACACAACCAAGTCGGATGGGCAGTTCAAGAAGACGGCCAGCAACAAGAAGTTGAGGACCTACCTCCCAGACTTCCAGTTCACACCCTTCAAACAAGGTGAGGGCCTGCCCGACCTTGGAAGGTTAACCTGGCAGTCCAATTGGTCCCCCAGATTCCTGTCCATCCATCGGTAGAATGGGCTGCTGCTGGAGGGGTAGAGTACCCTGTCACTAGAGGTCATGCATGGCATCATCGATTCAGGGCTAAAAGGGAACTCTGAGGTCCTTTAGTCCACACCCTCATTTACAGAAGCAGCAGCCAATGCCCAGTGAGGGTAAGTGTGCTAGCCAGGGTCGTACAGAAGTAAGTGGAGGGGCCAAGATTTGAACATGTCTGACTCCAAACCCAGTGTTGTTTCCTCCACTGTACTACATTTCCTGGTATGGTCAGGGCAGTGTAAGATATTACCATTATGCAGCATAAATTCTGCATCTGGTGGGAAATCCATTCTGGGAAATACCAGCCTGAGTGAGGAGGGGGTGGTTTCAAAGGTCAGAGAAAACAGGGTCTGAGCCATATCTGATGTGGAAGGAACTTTACAGTGTCTAAAAAAACCAACACCAGGGGGCAGCTAGGTGGCGCAGTGGATAGAGCACCGGCCCTGAAGTCAGGAGGACCTGAGTTCGAATCCAACCTCCGACCAAACACTTGACACTTACTAGCTGTGTGACCCTGGGCAAGTCACTTAACCCCAATTGCCAGGAAAAAAAAAAGATTAAAAAAATTAAAAAATAAAATAAAAAACCAAGACCCCATTTCTCTTGGGCTTTCCTTGAAAAGTCATTAAAATGCTATAACCCCCTAAACATGGTCTCCGTCCGTCTCACACCACTCAGTTTCCCACATTAAAGAAAGGGAATGGGGCAGGAAGGGAACCAAGGTACTGAGACAAGTAGGCAGGCATTGTTGGGGGGCAGGGGAGCAGGGCCACCAGGAGTAACAGAAACAGAACAAGAATCCACAAGTCCTAACTCATTTTTTTCAAGCAAAAGCTAGATGACCACTTGTTATGGAAGCTGTCGAAGGGACTCTTACCCAGGCATGGCTTAGACTAGATGATCTCGGAGCTTTCCTCCAGTTCTAAGATTGAGGGCTCAAACCTCTCCCACCTCCTCTCCTTGTCCTCGTGCTTTGGCCTCCTGAGTCATGAGAGTCCCCTGGTGTGGAGTGGTAGTGAGTGGCAGGAATGGGAGATCAGGGAGCGAGGAGCTGCAAGCTCCTGCCTCTCCCCTGACTCTGCATGCCTCTCACCAAGTCCCTTGCCCTCTTTGGGCTTCAGATTCTTCCTCTGTAAAATGGACTCATTGGCCCTTGAGGTACTTTCAGCCCTGATGAATTTCATTCCATTCTTTCAGCAAATACTTGATAAGGTAATATAGTAGAAAGAGCACTAGATTTGGAGTCCTGGGTTCAAAGACCTGGGTTCAAATCCAAGCTTTTCCTCTGTCTCATTTTATGACCTTGGCCAAGTCACTTTCTCTCTTTGGGCCTTAGTTTTCTCCTCTGTTAAAAAATTCTCTATTCTTTATTTTTATACTCTGATGTTCCTAATGCCTCTATGACTTTAACCCCCTTTGATAGAAAACACTAAGACCCGTGGAGAGGGCTTGGGGATATGGCTTACCCACGGTCACAGAGCCAGGACTAGACCCCAAGTCTTCTGGGTCCCTGTCCAAAATTGCCATTCCCCCATGTTGGCTTGAAAACAGTGATGCACATCACGTGATTCCAATCCAGGTCTGTTCCTAGCAGAGTTGAGGCCATAGGACCTAGTCAGGTATCCTGGTATCCTGTCCAGAATTTCACTGACATTCCTAGTCAGAGCCCATGGGAATGGACCAAGGTATAGGGGGTCAGGACTCTCCTTTGATCCTTCATCCCAGCCTCTTTACTTATTCCTCAGCTGTAAAGGAGACATGTGCCTGGTTTGAAAACAACTACGAGCAAGCCAGGAAGTGATCCTGGAGCACAGAGAAGAGGCTGCAAAGATCCGAGTCCTAGAGGGACAGTGGGGACTGGAAGGAGAGGCTGAGAACGATGCCCTTCCACCTGATCCAGGCCCAGGCCCTCAATCTCCATAAAGGCTGGCTTAAGGAAGACCTAGTGAGTCCCAAGTCTCAGTTGAGCACCTGGCCCTGACCTATCACTACAGCTTAACCTCAAGGTGGACACAGGGTTCCCTGTTCCTGTCAGGCTGGCTCCTGAAAGTCCACCATTGCTACCCTCAGGGAAAACTCCCCATGCCTGGAGCCTGGGAAACCTGGCCACCCATTTATACTCTTAATCACTGACTACCTGGGTTCTCTATCCTTTCTGATCATTCTCCAGAAATTCAAATAAAATACATTTTCACAGGAGGATTCAGCTTGTGTTAATCTGTGCATGTACAGAATGTTAGAGGTATGGTTAGACAATTCCTGTGAAGAAAAGTCTGGGAGGTTGTAGTGGACAGGTTCACATGAGTTAGCAGTGTGACTTGGCAGCCTCCAAAATTTAACTTGATCTTAGGCTGCATTATTGAAAATATAAGAAGGAAGTGATAGGACTCTGGTGACAAGCTGAAATAGAGAGAGAGAGAGAGAGAGAGAGAAGGAGATGACCAGGCTGGTCATGTCCTGACCTGTTTATCAGGACCATGGCCATAATGAGGAATCTTGATACCTGGGGCAAATTCAGTTTGAGTGTTGGGAGTGTCACAAAACACCACCTGGCCTGGTTGAGTGCAGCTGCTCAGGAAAAAAGGGTGCCCCTTCACCCAGAGATATTGGGTGGGGGGGGGACAGACTGGTGTGACGACTCCTAACCCTGGGAGAAAGTTTCCCCAGAGGAAACCTCTCCCATGGCAGAGGGAGAAAGTGGTATAGGAAACGTGAGACCATCAGGGGTGACATGTCATCTCCTGAGGTTCAGGGAGGACTGCAAGGTGTGAGATGAAGAGTCACAGGTACACTAGTGGAGAAAGTGCCCGTCTCCCCCATCCCTCACGACATGCCAAAGCCTCTATCACCTGCTCCTTGACTATGGCTCTACCTTGCATCCCCTTGTTCCAGGCTACTTAGAAAACACCTAGAAAGCTAAAGATAGGCCAAACGCAAAGCAAGGACTACAACCCCTGTGGCCAACAAGGGGAGAGTATGGAGGCAGAAAGGACATGACAGTCGGAGTGGGGTAATAACAGTGGAGCTGGAACTCACTTCAGGGACAGTAGGGAAGAAGAGAAGCTAGGAATGTGCAAGAAGAGATGGGAAGAGGGGGAGATAAAGGACAAAAGGTGGCCTGGGATCTCAATCCCAACTGTGTTTAGGTTTACATAAAGGAACGTGCATCAACTCAGCAGGGGCAGGAATAGTCCAGGAAGACTGCCTACAGGATCTAGCTTGAATTGGGCCCCTAAAGATGGACAGGATTGGGAGAAGGCATGGAGAGGAGAATGAGGGAAAGAACATTGTGAGTGAGGTTTCCATTTGGGTTGGGGCTGTGTCAACACTCATATATCAAGGAGCCATCCTGAAGGCAAAAACTCTCCAGCTTCTTCCACCAGTATCTGGAAGCAGCCTTCATCCACCATAGATATAGTCCTGGGGACGTGACAGGGCTCTGGTGACAATGCTCTCTAACCACACTCCTTCATCTTTGACTCACCAGTGAATAAATAACTTCCCCTCATTTCCTTCAGACTACCTCCCTAAAGCATTGTAGCAAAATTGCAAGACGGTACCCTTCCCAGGATCATCTGAATTTGAACAGGGAACCTTGAGGAATCAGGCTTTAATGGTACCATTAGTAAATTTTAATGACAGGACTTGGGGATCACTTCCAGGGCAGGGAGAAGCCAAGAAAATTTCCCATCTAGGGAAGAGAGGAGGCCAGGGAGGAAAGAACATCTCAACATACCCTTCCTATCCTCCTGATGTCTTTCATTCTAGAGGTCAGGATAGGTCTGTGTCTAGGGAGTTAGTAGTGACAAGTGCCCTAGGTCAGAAGTCAAAATACCTTGGTTCAGTTCCTAACTCTGAAATTGACTTGGTTCAGTCTTTTCCCATGTGTGGGCCTTGATTTCCTCTTCTAGCATATGAGGAGCTTTGACTTGAATTAATTTTGGATGTGTGGGGAGTCTCCTGTTCACTTTTTCCACCTTTTAGCATCAAATATTCTTCAAATGGGTAGATGTGGTAAGCCAACAACCACATCAAAGAAATGGAAAACCCATGCACAAACATATATTCTAAGGTTTACTGAAAGATGTTTATTTTACGGCCAGCCGGGGCCCCATAGAGCCAGAGCACTGTCTCACTTCAAGTCTATAGGTTGTTTACACCAATTATAGGGTCTTGTGGCACCCGACGTCTCAGAAAAGTTCAGTCATGTCAGAATGAAACATGATTTCCCAGCTTCTTGCATATATATATAGGAAAGGTCTCATCTTTGACGTGGGTCCGTGTTTTACCAATTTCCCCAATTCTGAAGGGTTCTAGGGCCATGGTGGGTGTGGAGACAATCTATTCTTTCTGCTCCACTTTGGGATCTTTGAGTACTGTAATTGGTTGAGGAAGGGGGCCTACTCTCATGGCCTTTTCTTAGAGCCCAGTCTCCTCTACACTCCTCTAGATAAGGGCCCTTACCTATATGTACTAACCTGTGTGTCCCATGAACACAAAGATTTCTTAGAACTCTATCTCTGTTGTGAAAATCTTGAAAATGAACTTTGGGTCAGCACTCATCTGAGCTGAAGTAGCTACATGGTAAGCTTCTTATTGTTCTCAGGTGAGGAATGTCAGGGATAGTCCAGTACCAGCTCTGCCTGACTCAGAAGAGCAGATAGTTAAATTCTCAGTCTTATCATTTACACTTGGAAATCGGTTACAAATCAGGGCTTGTTTTATTGTTTTATTGATTGTCTGGACTTCAGAAAGTAATGGAGATATGCATTATAATAATGCAAATTAAACTTCAAAGTATGTCATGTGTGTGTGTGTGTGTGTGTGTGTTGCCCCACTACCACCAGAGCCTGTTGCAAAGCACTTACCAGCACACCTCTGAATGTGTTGGTTGTTTATGCCTGAAGCTTCTCCATCCTCAGAGTCTCATCAGTTAATGGGTAGGTGTGATTCTCTCCCCAAAATCATCAAGATACAGTGTAAAGTCAGTGGCAGTGGTCCTGATAAGAGTTCCAGATCTATACTAGGATGTTAAAAACTGATTCCAGTGATATGTAGTTTGAACCTGAATTTTTTTTTTTTGGTGAGGCAATTGGGGTTAAGTGACTTGCCCAGAGTCACACAGCTAAGGAGCGTTATGTGTCTGAGGCAGGATTTGAACTCAGGTCCTCCTGACTCCAGGGCTGGTGCTGTATCCATTGTGCCACCTAGCTGCCCTGGACTTTTTTTTCGATGGGTAGAGGAGAGACAGAGAGAATTTGGAACTGAAAAGCAAATAAAGTAGAATTTTTTAAAATAAAATTTTTATAAGAAGATTACATTCTGGGGCAAGTCACTTAACCCCAATTGCTTCACCAAAAAAAAAAAAGATTACATTCTACCAGATCAGGAGTTCATAATCTTTGTGTGTGTGTGTCATGGACCCCTTTGAAACCTACTGTTGTGGTTCATTGCCTGCATTCCTAATTGAAGCTAATGTTAAATTTCAATTACAGGTTAGTGAAAATAAAGCTGTGACTTCCCCCCCCAAAACAACAAAAAATATGTATATGAATCTTTTTCCTTCCTTCAATTCATAAAGACAACCCAGTTAAACAAAAGTACCACCACAGCAGGGCTGGTACAGCTGCCAAGAGCAGAGCTGCAGGCCCCTGCTGTAAGCCTTGCAGGCAGTTTTCTGCTAAGGCTAATGGGGCACCTAGGCTTTGGAAGGGTGGAAGCTTTGTACTGTAGCTGTTATCCTTGGTGGGACTAGAGGTCCCTGGCACAAATACTGTATGGGCCCCTTCTTCCCATGAGATACCCCAGGCCACTGGGCTATTAACTATATTTTGCATTTACTCATCTATGTTTTTCAGGGGTTCTGAAGTTTTTTGTGTTTTATGGCTTTCTTTGACAGTCTGGTGACATCTCAGAATAATGTTTTTAAGTACATAAAAAATTGACAGGATTACAGAGTAAACCAATTATACTGAAATTGTTATCAAAATATAAAACAAGCTTATGAAATCTAGATGACTAACCCCAGTGTATAGTGGTTCCCCAAGTTCCATACTGACCCTCTCCAACTGACTGAAAACTTTGAGGGTTGGGACTGTTTCAGTTTTGGTTTTGTATCCTTAGTGCCTGGCATACAGGAAGTGCTTAATAAATGCTTGTTGATTGATTCTGTTGAGGTGTAGATGCTAGGGGTGCTGGGACCCCAAAATCATGACATGTGGGTCCTGACTGAATGAATTTGACCCAAGTCTTCTTTCAGCCAAAGACAAGGTTTATTAGAGGTTAATCATATACGCCAGACTCTTAAGGAATCTGAACATTAGTGCTGCCTGTAAGGACGAGTGGGCATGAGAAAGTCTCAGTGCCTATATGGGGTCGAGGATGGATCTTATATACAGCCAAGTAATTTGGGGTTACTGGAAGAGGGGCTGGGAGGAGGATCTTGACTGGGGTGACTGGGGGAGGAGTTTAGGGAGCATCCTGATGGGAGTGTCTAGGAGGTTGAATAGGGTCATCTAGGAACAGCCTATGAAAGGCTAGGCTTTATTAGGGTAACAAAAGCACTGGAAGATAGGGCCTGGGATAAGGAAGAGGTTGAATGGGTCTGGATAAGATCAAGGGTGGGAAATACACTAGTCTTCATTAGGGTATCAAAGAATCGGAAGATAAGGCCCAGGGATAGGGAAGAGCCAGTTGATTGGATTATAGCTACAGGCAACTGCTTGAGACTTCTTTGACCAAATAAGTGGGTTCAAGGAAAGTTTAAGGGAATTCTGGGGCCCATAGGCAAATGGGACCCAAATCCTTTTTGGGGTGAGGGGCAAAGGTTTAGGCTTGGGCCCATACCCCATCAATTCCATCTTCCCCTACTACTCCTTTTCTTTTTTCTTTTTAAATTTTCTATTTATAAGCTTAAATATGTATTCAAAGAACAGAACAGTATTGATCCTGTGACTTTGTTAAGAGCTTTGTATTTTTAAAGTGTATGTTAAATTTAACACAATGGCAATAAAATTGCCTCCTTTGTGTCCCCTTCTGAACTCCCTTCTCTCTTCTGTGTATTTTTAGATTTCATTGACCATTTCCTGGAATTATCACTTCCTCCAATTTCCTCTCAATGACTCTCCTCCCACCCCCTACCCCCCACAAATAGAAGCCTTCCTTTGTAATAAATATAGTCAAGCTATGCCTGAAATCAT